GGTATTTATATCATCTATTGTGGCGCTTTTTCATATTTAAACTTGCTTGAAAAACGTCATATCAGGTCACTGGAATAATTTGTGCTGTTAAAATAGTTTGAATGTTCCTGAGCTGGAACATCAACATACCGTACACAGAATAGCATAATTCAAAGCCAGAGTCATACTTTCTCAGTACAACCTCCTCTACTCGGGCAAGAGAGAGCTTCTTTTTTGATATTTTTTGCTTTTTTCTGAGTAGTTAGTCGGGGAACTTTGTTGAAGACGGTGAAAAACACTTTACTTTACATTGATCTCTTTAGTTCTTTGTGCTCGGAGGGAGATTTCGAGAGTGCAGCCAGCAAGGCTTACCTCCGGAAATTGGTAGAATTGTGTCCACACTAAAGTTATATCCAAATATAATTCAAGCGCAACCACTTCAGGATGTGAGCTAGATTTGATCAGAGAGCATGAAGGTCTGACAGTGCGTGTAACCTGACTTGAGAGGAGATGTGCTGAATTTGTTATTAAAAGCCAAGGACCAAGCAGCCGACTCCTTCAGGCCATTCCTTCTCTGAACACAGACCTGGCAGCTTTAAGGCGCACTTGATTTGTTGTGTCAGGGCACTTTTTTTAAACGACCAGAGCGGCCCATTAAAACACAATAAATCAAAGAGTAAAGCTCTTCCTCGGGTATTCCAGCTATTCTTATAGACTGTAAACCGAGGCATGTGTGCGCATTCAAGGGAAGCATTTTGTCTCCAAGATGTTTTGTGAAAAAACAACAAAGGGCTATTTTTTATGTTGGATCAGTTGACGATGTTTGCGACAAGCAACACATCTTGTCTAACTCTGACCGACGCCCCAACGTCAGCTACTAGCTTTTAAGCTTCTTTATCACGACACACCTGCTGTGTGTCTACACGTGCACACGTTTCAACATGCCCATTCAACCTTACGGTTTGCCTAAACATTCCGTTCTGTGTTTACATGGCAGAAGAGTCATTTTACAAGACATGCAGAGAGTTGGAACAAGCTGCATGTCTTTGTTGCTGCTCATCAGGGTGATGGGCACAAAGAAATGTAGAAAATGCTAAATAGCGCAAGTACATTTTTGTTGGTATGTATACTATAAATTGTACTGTATGATTTCCAGAGCTCCACACCTCTTTGTAGTTCCACAGACTGTTTGGGCTTTAATAACGTAACGGTAGCAATATTCTTGACCTCTTACTTCGCAATGAACCTGATTGTGGCATCACACCGAGAAGCAGTAAAGAGCCGTTCAGTTTCATTACCCAAGACGTTTGTGAAGCAGTGAGGAGGACATCTACCACATTCATGTTTCAGCAGCATCTCTAAATGCAAAATCCAACACAAGACCAGATGATCTCCGTCCACGACAACCGTGTCCGGAGGCATTGGGTTTATCGTGTTGTCCGTCCATCTGTACGTACGTCCCATTCTTGTGGTATCTCGATACAACACGATCCCTCAGAAGCACCTGAAGGAAATTTCATTGCATCTGTCACAAACAGATTAGAATTTGGTGGTCAAAGGTCACTGTGTCTTAACAAAACATGTTATTGGCCATAACTCAAAAATTCACATATTGTAATTATGACAATTTCACACAAAAGTCTGATACGATAAAATAATGAAGTGATGACACTTTGGATGTAAACTGCAACTTGACTGGTTGGCGGCGGTGTACAACTGCGAAGCAGTATTTCTATTATTCACTTTTCTTTTCTTAAAAAGCTTCTTTAAAACATATGTTTCCGGCTCATGCAGACATCCTATCTCATAGGCAAGACAACAGCTTTAAATTGGTCTTTTCTTAAATTTGATCTCGAGTTGTATATAAAAAATAAATCTTTTGATAAAGTGTTAGCGTTGTGAAACTTACAGCTACTGTACCGTAGTCACTTCCTCTGTATATATAACATGTTACATGAGTTTTGAGCTTTATAAACTCAGGTAAATTCAAACCGATGCAGCAGACGTGCTCATATTAGCACGTGGCCCCTCTGAACCCCCTCTGGGACCCCTCAGACTTGCTAAAAGCCCCTCTGAACATCCTCAGGGATTCAGGAAATTCCCCCAAGTGTCTCTGGAGCCCGACTTGGCGCCCCAATCCCCCATTCTGGATAAGTGCAGGAAGCTGTGTCTCCATCTGAAACAAGGGGCTCTTTAATGTCTTCTGTAATGTACAACAGACTTTAAACAGTCAGAATGATTCACTGTTCTTCTCTCATCGTAATGTCACTCGCAGGAAATTCATGCCTGCATGAATGTGGCCTCATTATTACATGTACACGCACACATGCGGACAGAGAGCTGAAACATTGCGGGTCAAATAGTTTGAAGGCCTGGCGTCTCTGTCTTTTTGTACTGGTGGAACTGGGACGCAGCTCTGTGGATGATGTAATAAGGCAAAGAAAAGCAGAAATTATATTGTAGCTGTACCAATAAAGATACCTTTCACTTGAAACACATTTGGCAGAAGTATGTGGCACAATGTGAAAGCTCAGGAATGCATTGGTCTCATTTAGATGAAGGCAACACAAAGCTCATTGTTATTTTTAAACAAACTGATCGGTTTGAACCTTTTTGAACCCAAACTTTGTTTGTCCCCGCATATTCAGAAGTTGTTTCCTGCTGCAGGAAAAGCAAACGCACAAAGCTCTCATGCAACAGGCCAACGATTATTGAAAAATACTGAGAAAACACAAATTATGTTGAAAAGATTAAACTGTCTGGTGTTTGAGCTAGACATTGTATTTTTTAATGGCTGCTTTCAATCATAAAATATCCATTTTAAGTAAAGGAAAAGTGAATAAAGAGCGCCGTCTGATGATGAACATCTTGTGAGTCATGTGATCAAAAGCTTCAGAATAACTACTAAATGTACCTCATGCTGAGATTGCTGTTTCCAATCACAAGATTTAACATTAAAACATTTTTATCCTTACTATTCAAAATAATGTAATGTAACCTCAGGGTATTTGCAGGTCTTTAAAAAGTCTTAAATTTACAAAGGTCTTAATATTTATTAATAAGAGTTATGCAATATTATTATTGTATGTATATACATTCATGTACTTAATAAATGGATTTCCGTCATTCTTTGACCAGTGTTAAGAGTGGCAACATGCTATGTGATATTAAAAAAGTATTTTATTTAACTTGGAGAACACTGCAGAAACCTGCCATTGTGCACTGGCATCTTTATCTCCTGCACCACAGCTGATAACACAGTTAATACACGTGACCTGCAAAAAGTGAGAGCTATTAACCTGAGTGTAACCTCGGCTTCTGCTTTACAAGATGTGGCTTCACACACACACTCACACACACACACACTCCCTCTCTCTATCTGAACCACGTTGCCAGGTCTGACGAATGGCGGCAATTAGAAGTGTTTTTAATCCAATCCACAGTTTTAGGAGCAGGTTTATAGACCTGCTGTGATTGTTGATGTCTAGGTAGTGTGTGTGCTACAGCGGAACCTGATCCTGTGGTGTTCCTAGTTTAAACTTTTACTCTGTTAAACGCTGCTTTAAAAGTAGCAGCGAGTCTGAAAGTAATCATTCTGTTTAGTTCAGTCTTTGGATAAACCAAATTATTTATTTGAAGTCTCGGAAATGTTGGAGTGAAACAGCAGTGTATTTCTGAAGAAAATATTGTTCTGGTTTCTGGCTCTACTGTTGCACAAACTCTGAGGATAAACATGTCAAGATGGCAAAGAAAGCGTGTGATTTGTCAGATAACATGCCAGCACTTTGCTGCACTGTAAACCACCTACCCACTTCACAAGAAAACCACTCACACACACACTCACACTCCCCTTTTCATCTGAATTTATTTTCTGAGAAAGGATTTGCTTTAGAGAAAATAAACAGATTCCTGTGGGGAAATTTGATTGTTTCAGTTCAGCAGCAAATGTTACCAGCAAAGAAAACTACAATATAAGCAACGAGAGGGAGGATGAGAACACTTGTGACTGTGTTTGACGTTTGCTGCTCGAGTGCTATAAATGTCGTGAGATGCTTCAGTCTGACCTGTCGGTGAACTTTGGGATAAAAGCGGCTCAGTGTTCAGGAAGCAGTCGTTTTCTGATCCGTCCCTGTTGTGTTCAGTGTCTGCAATCTTTGAATGTCTGTGTTTTTGAATTGCTGGTGGTGCTCTCCTCCCTTCTGGTCCAGATGATTCAGCCAGAGCTTCTGGATGTTTCTGTATTAACCAGTCCTGTCTTCAGATGGACATTATGTCAGCTTTCCATTCCTGTCTGGCTGGAGAAGACGCACCTTTAGAATCAAGTGTATCTAATACTCAAACCGATTAATCGATTATGAAAATATAAATGCTGCAGTAGCAAAATAATTTCCCTTTGCAGGATTAATAAAGTACCTATTGACCTGTAGTTGGCGATTCATTTAATAGTTGACTATTATTCTATTAATTATTGACATCCACAGAGTACACTATGCTGATTTCCGTTTGGGCATTTTTAGGGAGATATGTTATGTTTCTGATCCAAGCTAAAGTTGTTCCAGTACTAGCGTAGTTTTCTCCTGTTAGGGCAGAGGGCTTCAGTGCCTTGCTCAAGGGCTTGTTGAGAAAAATAATCCTTTTATAATATCAAGTGTTTTATTCTTATTATCTCATGATTATGAGAACATTTTCCTCGCTTAGTGTCTCATAACTGTCTGTTATGACTTAGTGTGATTCCGAGAAATAAAATAAGTGGTGGTCAAGTGGTGGAAATTGTCTTCCGTATAAAGCAGCGAGACGATCCCGAGCCGAGCACGGCCGCACTTTTATGTGTTGTTGGTGTGAGCCACCAAGATGCTGCTCTAAAACCATGGTAGCTGTTTGGCACAACACCTAACTATAATATATCTATAAATACATTCATGATCAAATTGACGAATGCTCTATACATGTTTTTTTTTTTTTTTTTTTTTTGTACATTGGTTAATCAGTCTGTGTCTCTTTGTGTCTCTCTCTCTCTGTAGGGTGCCGGTCAGGAGAAGCTGGGCATCTACGTCAAGTCCGTTGTCAAAGGAGGAGCGGCTGATGTGGTTAGTGTACACAGAGACTGGAACCATCACAGAAAAGTTTGAATGAAAACATACTCTGTGACTCATGCTGGTGTGTGTGTGTGTGTGTGTGTGTGTGTGTGTGTGTGTGTGTGTGTGTGTGTGTGTTAATACAGGATGGCCGTTTGGCTGCAGGTGACCAGTTGTTGAGCGTGGATGGGCGCAGCCTGGTCGGTCTATCACAAGAGAGGTAAAGACAGCGCTCCAGTTAGTTCTGATATTTTTAACGTGTTGTGTTTGTTGGCGTCAGTGCTCAGAAATCATGTAATGCGATGTCACCTAATTGTCTTATATGTTCATTTCCATTTGCACAATTGTAAATGGAGAAAATCCCAGCTGACGTGCTTAAGTTATCATCAAACCTTCATGACGTCTCTATAAAAAAAACACCAGAGAGGAGTGGGTGCACGTGGTATTTTCCTTTTGTTTAATGCTTAACCACCTACCGCGTCGTATTGACGCATTTATGGTCATGCTGATGACGAAACTCAAATTTAATTCTATTTTGAGAATTGAAAACAGTTTGAAGAATAAAATATACTGCTGACAACCTCAGGGTTGAGACATCTTGAGGTTCTTGCAATGAGGCAGTTGCGTCTCATTTTTCCTTGTAAAAAAAAAGGATTCTTTTCCAAACATCATGCAGAAAAAGGGTGTGTGTGTTTTGGAAAACAGCTGTGAAGTGCTCGGACGTTCACGCCCCACCCAGATTAATCCAGTTATTTCTCTCTCCCTCAGCTTGGTGTTCAGTGTTGTCGCTTACCGTTTGTCGCCTCCAAAGTCAAACTGGATTTACAAATCATTTGCTTGATTGCTTCAGCGTGCAGGTGGCAGGTTGGAAAGGATTTATTTTATCAGGCCATTTAAGGTCAACTGAGAGTTAATCTGAGGACTTTCCTCTACATTTCTGAACTTTTCCGTCGTCCTCCTGTGGTCATGTCCTTTCCTGCAGGTTAAGACGAAGCATGATTTGCAGCCTTTAGATCTAGCACGTTTTAAATCCTGTGATATTACCAAACGTGGGTTTAGAGCCAGTTCTCTGCTCGGCATCAAGCACATGACGTTGCATTCCCCGAGTTCCATCCGATCAAACACACACAGCTCATTACCTAGTGTGGGATCTGCACTTTATCTATTTATAGCACTTGGTTAAAGCCCTGTGCACATGTTGCAGATAAAGAAAATATCATGTGTGTGTGTGTGTGTGTCACAGCAGGATTGAACCCGAATTAGAGTGAAGAGAGTCTCTGGCAATGAGGAATATAATCCCTGCCTTCTCTGGCTCTTATTGAAGGTCTTCCAGTTGATGTTTCTGCCTTTTGGGAAGCTAGTAGACAGGAACTTTACTCATTTCTCCTATAATGATAAGAAAAACTTAGTTTGTAGCACACACATACAAATGTATAGTGGAGCTGAATCGATCGACTCTTTTGACGATCGATTCATTGTTTCAGTCACTTTTAAATCAAACACGTTCTGATTCCAGCTTTTTAAATGTGATCATTTGCTGCTTTTCTCTGTTTTATATAATTGTAAATTAAATATATTTGGGTTTGTGGGACAAATCAAGTAATTTGAAGAAATCCCTTTGCTAAATTTTGATTGATCAGTTAATTGTTACTTCATCAGTAACGTAATATATCGTTATACTTGTGCTGTGAAAACTCCCTTGTTTTTTCAAACCTCTTGGGCGGTGGATGTGTTTCAAGGTGATAAGAAGTAGAAAGGAGATTACTACTTCTCTCCAACATTCTCAGGCCAATAAATTCATTATCTTTCAGTTTGAGGATAGTCCACTGTGTGATTACATATATTGATATTCATGTCATTCTATACTATACTTTATTCACAAGCTACTCAGCAGATAAAGTATATATTGTATTTAAAATGAGCTCCACTAACAATATAGTGATGAAAACATTAATGCATCAATAATTATAGTTCTAGCATCAGTACCCCACAGGGTCATTGAAAGTGACCGGAGGTCAGATTTACTATTATTATAAATATGACTTATTGCTCAGGCTTCCCTCTCTCTTCAGCCTCTTCGCTATCAGTTACAAATGTAGATGCACTCTCTTACACACACACACACACACACATACTTATATCTACAATATTGTTATATCATTTTATATTCTGAAATTAAACCTTTTTGCACAATGAGAACTATTACTTTTGGTGCTGAAAGTATATTTAGATACTTTTAGTACATTAATGTAGGACTTTTACAAATAGTTTACACTGCTAATTTGCTTAGGTACAATATCTGAGTACTTCTTCCACCACTGGATGGGATATGTCGTCAGTGCAGTATGATTAAAGGGTGGAGAGCACAGTGTTTGGATGAATTGATGTGATGTTCTGATCACTTTGATGGACCTTATAAAAAGCCCATTGAAGCTAAACGGGAGATTTCAGTATTGATGGTGTATTATATCAATTTTAAAACCACAGAAAACAGTCAATCAGATCTGTTGAACTTGTTACAAGTTCCATATTCATGCCCCCCACCCACCCCACCTCTCTCTCTCCCTCCCTCTCTGTGTGTTCAGGGCTGCAGAGCTGATGACGAGGACGGGCTCAGTTGTGACTCTGGAGGTCGCCAAGCAGGGAGCCATCTACCACGGACTGGCTACTCTCCTCAACCAGCCCAGCCCCTTGATGCCAAGAGGTGAGCACACACACACATGCAAGATGTTTAGAGATGTTTAAAACTGTTTAGTTTACTTAAGTTTTCTGCTCATTTTACATTTAAACAGTTTTTTTTTATACATTAAACTCTCTACTGACATAACATTTTGTATTTCAAGGGTTCCCTTGAGTCTAAAAATATATTAAATTGCCTTAATTTAGGAAACAACTGAATTATTGCATTGAAACTGCATTTTATTTTTTATGTCATGATTTTGAGGAGCTTTTTGTCGTTTTCTTTGAATGGTGCTTAATGATAATTTGAAGAGCTTAAAATCTTGAATCAATCGAACATCCCATAGACCGAAAATACATCTGCAATCATTTTGATAAGCAAGCAGTAATTTTTCAAGCAAAATCTTTTCTGTTTTCGGTTTCCAACTTCCCCAGCGTGAGGATTTGCTGACTTTTCTCCTTTTTATTTCATAATGAATAGAATATTTTTGGTTGTCGGGCAAAACATGTCATAAATAGTGATGATGTGCATTTTCTGCTCTTTGGTACGTTTACTAGGCTAAACCAGTAAACAAATAACACAAAAATAACACATCATTTCACTGTACTTCCACTACTACTTCCACTTTGAATAAAAAAACAGTGGAAGTACAATATGTCTGTCAGTTTTTCACGTCTAAACAATCAAGAACATTATAAAAGTCTTAAATTAAAGTCATTTAAAAAGAGCACAAGTCCTGAGTTTGACTTTCTAAAACCTTCAGATTGTTGCTGTTTATTAGTTGTCATGAATGGACTACAGTCAGTTCCACCGTTCGTTAATGGCAGCGATGTGGATGAAAGGGGAGAAACAGACTTGTGCAGACAGTGTGTCCTTGTCTTCTCTGTAGCGCTGTAAAAAAACAGCTTGCAGACTGAAGGATATAATGAGTGTTTGTGGCCAGAGCCAGATGTGAGTGTCTGAGACAAGCTGCATGTGTGTCCACACACACACACACACACACACACACACACACACACAGCATAGAGTTTACTGGGGTTGTGTGGCTGTGTGCTGGTCTTTGTCTGATGGAATGTGACCCGAGATTCATTAAGGAAGTCTTCTGGCCGGCCCGGCCAGCGGTCCAGGATGACGCTAAACGGGTGTTTCTCCTCCCGAATTCCCTCGACCACAGTGTGTTTTCCAGAGCCGACAGTGAAACGTAACCATTCTTTACTGGACTTAATGAGAGGAAACTGGACAAAGCAAAGTGTAGATTCTCACAGACTCAGAAGGGAAAGTAATGTCCAGATGTTTTGAAATGGGGTTGTATGAGGTATTTATTCATAGTCTGTGTATTACTGACAGTACAGTAGATCACATGTGACACACCCCCAGTTTGCAGAAACGGACCGCAGTACCAGCACGGGAGCAAAGCAATGTACTGCTGTGCAAGAGGGGAGCAGCAAAATGTATTTTAGCCAAAAAACAATCAATTTCATATTTTTCAAATAACCACAACAAGCATCTCTGGATTAGTATGTAATAGAAAAGCCCAACTACTGAAACAACAAACCTGTCAACTATCCATTCTCTCTCCTTCATCTTTTCAGCGGCAGACCGAGGCCGTGACAAGAACGGGAAGCTGCGACCAAAGAGTGAAGGCTTTGAGTTGTACAACAACTCGGTGCAGAACGGCTCGCCAGAGAGTCCGCAGGCTGGCTGGGACTCTTACCCCGAACCAAAGAAGATGAGCGGAGAAGATCGACTTCTCAAGAACCGAGCCGACCACCGCTCCAGCCCCAACGTAGCCAGTAAGCCCCGCCACTTACCAAGAGTTTATTCTGTTCTTACAGTTGGAACTACTGAAGCTGTCTCGTCTGTCTTCTGCTTGTATTTCTATTTTGTTTGACTACATACAGAACACTGAGCATGAAATGGCTTTAACTCTAACTTTAATTGTTGTACCTAGTTAAGATAACAGCTAAATTATATTATGTCTATTCCTCACAATTTAAATGTCAAATAGTTTTTGAAAACATTTCTATGATTCAGATGTATTTTTTCTGTTTGATGCATTGGACATTCATCACAAGGATGTAGTTCTGACATGAGTGTGACAAAACATTACGTGTTATCACAGGTCCATAACATTTACACCCAATTTGGCAGTACATTTAGCCGAAAATCTTATTGAATATGACTCCAGTACACTTTGATTGGATTAAAAAAGGAATGGCAAGAAAAAAAAGTCAGTGTGTTTAGACTTTGCAGGCAGTAATGGAAATAAGAAAAAAAGTGCTGGTGTTATTCTTAAAGTGCTCCACCTTGATATGGAAACTGTGGCATAACACTGTGTCTGCAAAAGTCTTACAGAAAACAACCTCAGAAACAACTTTCAGGAACCGATTTGGTTAATTTTGGATTTGTTGTTGACTCCTTTGGACCTTTAACTCATTGCCTAATTGCATTGAAGTGTTGGTGAAGCTTCTAATTAAGAGTTAACCGACCCATCATTAACCGTTAACAGATTATAATGCAGGCCTACTGTTTACAGTGGACTGTTGTCTGTGGCCAATTAAGAAACTACCAATGCAACATTTTTTTTCCCTTCATAATAGCAGACAGCTGGTTTTTATTCATAAATAGCAACATGTTGACATGCTGTGGGATTAGTCTGGTGCAGAATACCCACTCAGATAGTACCGAGGAACGGAAGCGTGTCTGATTACCTCTTCACCAGTAGTTTTTAATTACTTTTTTAAATTTAAACTAACATTTAAACTTCTTTTAACCGAAAGTAGTAATTGGTCAGTTAAACGGTTAGTTATTAACATCCCTACTTCTGACTGTAATAAAAAGACTGTCTCTCCCGCTCCATCGTCAGATCAGAGCCAGAGTCCTGCAGGAAAAGCAGCATACCCCGGAGGACCTGGCACTAAGATCACTTCCGTGTCTACCGGCAACCTGTGTGCAGACGTAAGTAACTGTAGGAATGAAGGCAGTGGCATCTTCATGTTGAATGTGACACACGGTATCTACAACAGAGATGAGAAATTATTTTGTGACAATGTGTTGCCTGTTTAGTTTTGGGAAGGAGTCCCAAATATTTTATTTTTCCACCCACTAATTTCTTTTTTTTTTGTATGACCTTATCAGGATGAGCCCTCCCCTCCCCGTCCAGAGGCCTACCCCATCCCCACCCAGACCTATCCCAGAGAGTACTTCACCATCCCGGCCTCCAAGAGCCAGGATCGGGTTGTTGTTCCGGGACAGGGGCCCCCACAGCACTGGCAGGGCATGGAGGACAGGGAACGCCTCCCTGTGGTCGACAACATTCACAACAACAGCATGCAGGTTGGAGCAGCATCAGACGCCATCTTCATTATCAGAGTATACCGAAAATAGTATCATAAATGTTTTAGTTAATAATTCAGTAACTTCTCTGGGAGTATTTTATAGATGTAGCAGAACTCAAACTGTACAAATTAGACATTCAGTGCACTTGACTGTAAAACATCACAAAAGTGGTCCTAGGAAAGTCAGGGAATGTTTTGTCTTCATCTCTTCCCAGCGTATAAACCACTCCCAGGAGGAGTTGTACCCCCCACCGGGAGGTCTGAGGCCAGACGAGCGCATGCAGCAGCACTACCAGCAGGACTACCAGCACCGGGACCTGGACTACCAACACAGAGACCTGGACTACCAGAGAGGTCCACCAGGAGGTAAGAACAAAGAAAAATCAGAGACCTCGGATAAGTGAGGTTGACAAAAATGGGACTGTAGCACCTGATCGTGTATCAACTGCAAGATTATGTAACAGCTTAGTGATTTTCAGCACCCAAATGTTCCTCTAAAATGTAATCAAATGTGATATTATTGTTATGTAATACTAACAATACTAAGCCCATTAAAGATTTTACCGCTTTCCGAGTATCTAGTGCGTTTAGTTGATTTAAATACCACTGACTGTGTCTCTAGGTGTTGGAGGTCCTGACCACTGGGCCCCACAGCCGCAGGTGTCCTCCTCGTTGGAGTCGTCCACGTCGAGCCAGGAGCACCTCAACTTTTCAGCCTCCTCCTCCTCCTCCAACAAGACCGGGAACCAGAAGACCGGGCCGGGCCGATGGAAGACACCCAACGCCCCTCATGCCGCGCCGCCGTCGGCCCAGACGCCATCCCGCTCGGACCTGCCCCCTCCTCCGCCCCCACCTCCGGCCCCTTACCCCGACGCATACGACCCTTATGAACCACAACCTGAGTTACCGCTTCCACCGCCTCCCGCTGCCATTAACCCCGTAGCAGCCCAGCAGGCTGCGGACCGCAAGAAACGTGAGGAGCAGCAACGTTGGTATGAGAAGGAGAAAGCGCGACTAGAGGAAGAGAGGTGGGCGTTCTTTTGTTTGTTTTATTCATGTTGTATTAGATTTATCAAAATGATTAATGCTACACACAAAGGAACATTTGATTTAATGTTAGGCTGTTTACCAAAACCATAAGAAGTGAGAGAAAGACGACGAAACAGGTGCAACGAAGATATGAATTTAGAACCAGGAAACCAGCACATCATAACAGACAGTATATAACGTACAAAGGAAGAGGGTAACGTAATGATATTAACATCTAACATGATTTCCCAGGGAGAGGAAGAGGAGAGAGCAAGAGAGGAAGCTGGGTCAGATCCGCGCCAACCCCGTCATGCCAGTCCAACCTCACAACAACGGAGGATCAATGCCTCCTCCTCACCACCAGCCCCCTCTGCCCTCTGTGGCCCCGCCCCATCCCTACCTCCCCCCACAGCCTCAGCCCCAGCCTCCCCCATCCAGACCGGAGAAGCTGTCCAGCCTGCCGCGATCAGCTGTTCCTCCCCCTGCGAGTGCCTCCATCCCTGGTAACTCCTTCAAGTCGAAAACTTTTCTTTTATGTAATGTCTTGTCTCAAAAATAATGACTTCTAGACTGTTTTTATGTACAAACAAGTAAAAAAATGTAATTTATTTGTAGGCATGGACACGGTGATCAGGGACCTGTTACCGCAGCAGCAGCCCCGGACCATCGAGAGGCGAGACTTGCAGTACATCACCATCAGCAAGGAGGAGCTGGCGTCCAGCGACAGTCTGTCTCCAGACCCCTGGAAACGAGACGCCCGCGAGAAGGCCGAGAAGCAGCAGCAGCTCCACATCGTCGACCTGCTGGACAAAGAGATCCAGGAGCTCCAGGTAGACTCAATTTAGGCTCCATTCGAAGGAAGGAAGGACGTCTCACACACACACTTAGTGAAGGATTTACAAATAACTGGTGCACACGTTGTTTTCCAGTCGAAGCCGGAGCGAACGGCGGAGGAAAGCGACCGTTTGAGGAAGCTGATGCTGGAGTGGCAGTTCCAGAAACGACTGCAGGAGTCCAAGCATAGCGACGAGGACGAGGAGGAGGAGGATGACGAGGACGTGGACACCATGATGATCATGCAGAGGCTGGAAGCTGAGAAGAGAGCCCGGGTAAGATGGGGTTGGTGATGGCAGGATGGGAAAGGATAGAGAGAGTAGACAGTTTATGCCAAGGGTGGAGGAAAGAGAGTAAAAAAACATCCTGAATGAAGTAGAGGAGGGATGAAGCTTAGAGAACAAGCATGCAGCAGAGGAGAGTAAATAAAACATTTACAAGGACAGGAAATGTCATCATGCGCAATGGCTGTTTTTGCCGAAATTAAACACTGATGTTAAGTAATAATACTGTAGCTCAGCACACAAAGAAGGGCGAGCCACAGGAAGTCAGGCTATTGGGCGGGAGAAGAAGGAGCCAGCTCTCAAAAGCTAGAGGGGGAAATGGATTCCTCTGTGGCTCCCACTATGAATGTTCTGCAGTGTGCATCTGCAACATGCTTCTGTCATCGCTTTGCCATGCTGAGCTGCTTCAATCTGATTTGCTGGAGGGGTGGGCGGGGGCTTCGGGCAGGCGTTGTTAATGCAGCATTCACATCACGTGGACACAACTGTGTGACTTTTAGTATGACGGGTAGTGTTGGGACATGTGGTGGTTTACGTTTCCTGTAGATTTTGGTTCCTACACTCAGCAGCTGGTGAGAACGACAACTTTAGTTTAAAGTGGATATTACTACACTTACTTGTGTCTGGCATCCTTCCCATATAATGCAAATGCAGCATGTGTGCCGTGTTGCACAGCAAGACTGAACCATGACCACTGGTCCCATTTCAACAAGGTTCTCTGCATCCTGAATGGATTTTGATTATATAATTAAATAATTCTTCCTTGACATTATCCAGAACTATTTGATAATTACACCCCATATTGAGTTATTCTGTATTATACAGAAGCTAATGTAGAACGAGGTGAAGCCGTATAGCATCTACTGTACACAGGCTGATGCTGAAGTTCTTATGGGTATCATTACGGCAGCCTTTACGCTCACTGTTCCAGCACTAAAATGGCTGTCAAATTTCCAAAAATGTTTCAGGCAAATTCCTGTTGCTTCCAGAGATTGGTGGGCATACTTTTTTAAACTCTTGCGCAGCATTATTTCCTTAGTTTCTCTGTGTGACTGGCTGTGAGTGTGTGATTGTATGGCGATTCATGTGGTCAGTTTGGTACTGTTTTTTTCTGTAATAACGTACTTTTAAACTGATCTTTGGACCTTAATTATATAGTTTTATTAATAATAGTGAGTTGTATTTTAATTAGTGCTTAGGTGGTGATTTGAATGGTGGTGGATTTAGGAGCTCTTGAACAGTCACCAATCAGCACAATGGAGAAAAACAATGTTTTCACTTTACTGTATGTCCTCCCCCTCCCTGCTTTTAATTTCTACTTTACTCCTCAGTTCTACTTCCTCCTCCTACCCCCCCCCCCCCCCCCCTCTTTTCTAACTTAAGTTAAATTGATTATCTCCACCTTACCTTTCAGTATTTGGTATTTTCCTCTACCCCCTCCCTCCTTATCTGTCCCCCCGTTTCACACTCTATTGTCTTCTTCTTCAGCAGCAGCAGAATGCTGTCCCAGCTATCTCTGTTCTAGATTTGGTATGTTCTACCTGTTAATGACGAGTATCCTCTCCCTGCCCTTACATCACTTCCTGTTTCCTGTCTGGGCTGCCTACCTGCCCGTGTTTCCTATCTGTCTCTCCCGACCTATGTGGAGTACTGTTGTCGTTGTGGTTGGGGCTGGGGGGTTGGAGGCAGACCTGGTGCCATGATTAGCTTGAGAGCTGCCGGTCATGGAAAGGCCGTCCTGCGACGCTTGATGTTGTGTGGCTGGGGGAAGCTGTCCATCTCTTTGTCCACTCAAAACAACTGCAGCTTCACTTGCAGCTTATAAATGATGAAATACTGGTGTTTACAAATCATAAAAACCAAACCTTGACATGCTTATAGAGTAGCAGAGCTGAGGTTGTTGTGGTTTCTTATAAGCAGTGATGTTTTGAGTGCATATGGAGGTGGTGCCTGCATGGCTGAATGCATCACAGGGGCCGTCCAGGTGGAGATCCATGCATGATAGTCTTGTGAGCACCCGGCACTGCCTGCGCAGGGCCACATCATGATGTTGTGGTGTCCGTGAATCCATTCTTCACTCATCCATCTGTGTGTGACCAGCTGAGCCTCTTTATGTTCGCTTTATTTAAAGGGTCTGATCAACCAAAACGTAAACACATATATAGTTATTTATCCGTCAGATGGACTTGGTTGTGTTTCTATCGCTGAGATTTCCGCCTGTACAACAAGACAGCAGAGCTGAATGGAAAAATTATATTTAAGGAAAATGTCTCGAGCAAAACAGAGAAAGGAGCCGGCTGTGATCGTTGCCGTCATATTAAATCTCTTGACATCCTAGCAACATGTTGACATGCTGTGGGATTAGTCTGGTGCAGAATACCC